CTCACATGCGGCGACAAGGGCCCCCGCACATGAACCACGATGATCCTAGTCTGGTGCCAAACGTTCCCTACTTTGATCTTCCTGCTGGGCTGATGGCTCCGCTTGTAAAAGTAAGTGTTGCAACACGCCCCGAATAGTAGAGTTAAAAGATCGAAATCCCATCATCAATAATAGGGACAGTTTAACACAGACATTTGTAGTTTCAAATCTTTCATCCAGCAACCATCAGCCAAGTTGTTGAAGGGTGTGTAAGGGCAGGAGCGGGGTGGGGAGAAAGGAGTGAAAATGGTGAAACTTTTAACTGTTGTGTCCTGGTGAAAGCTGTTTGAGCTTATGTATGTGAAGGACTAACTTAGTCTTGGAAATCTTACCCTGGTTTTTAGAACGTGGAAATGCCCGGTGATTTTCAGATGGGCAGAGGGACCTTGCAGTTCTGATGTGGCCACTGTCCTAGTTTTGGTGTTCAGAGTTCTTTACAAAGATGTTTTGCAACGTTAATGTTATATATATACAAACAAAGAATGATAGAGAACAGGAAATGTATCTATATCAGCATCTTTGGGAATATACACATGTATGCATTCTGGTCTGAGATGAACAAATAGGGCTCTGCCATCTCTAACTTTGTGTTACTCGCAGCATACACCAGCTTTTGCCAGGCTTCCATCCAGCCACTTAGCACCAAGGTGGATAGATGAGATCTGCATTTTATCTACCTGGCGATCCAGTTAATGCTGCAACCTGTGTAGTGCTGGCTGTTCTCATAGAACTCAAAATGGTAGTGATAGCACGAGAAAGCATTGGGTCATCTGCAGAATCCTTATTTCTGGACCGTTTTTTATCCAGTAGTGAAATGTGAGGTCCCTACACAGTTAAATCTATATTTATCTCTTCAGGTAGCCACCCCATGACACATGACACGAATGTAATTTGTTTTGTTTCCGGCAGCTTGAAGATCATGAGTATAAACCTTTAGATCCTAAAGATATACGTCTTCCACCCCCAATGCCCCCCAGTGAGAGACTACTGGCTGCGGTTGAGGCATTTTATAGTCCACCATCTCATGACAGGCCTAGAAACAGGTAAGAGTAGGTATAGCTAACAATATGGTAAGGAAAATGCCCTAAGAAGCTGTCTCAAACCACGAAGTGCCTCTCTCTTCCTTCGCCTGTGTCTTGGTTCTTCTAATGCTGAAATGAGTGCTCTTGTTGTGTTTTAAACTGCACACGCTGTTTGATCTTACACTGAGATTTGCAAGACCGTTTTGCCCAGGCTCTTTGTTCCCAACCAAATCTAGCGGAAATCCTGAACGTCTCTGCGTTGATCAAAGTAGAATTTTACAGATGTCGGTTCTGTGTGTGGTTGATTTATTGCAGTGAAGGCTGGGAGCAGAATGGACTGTACGAATTCTTCAGAGCTAAAATGAGAGCGAGGCGGAGGAAAGGTCAGGAGAAGAGAAATAGGTGAGAGATCCTGTCTGCTGCCTTGTGATGCATGCTGTTCGTGTGGAGTATCTTGGGCTAAATGCAGAGGGGAAAGTCTGTTCAGCAACGTGCTGATGGAATAACTTGAGTTTCAACTCGCTGGAATTTCTCTGATCTGCAGAAAAAAGTTTTTGCCGCACTCACGTTTTCACTGCGTTGCCTGCAGAAATACAGTGCTTGTGTGCAGTACGAGTTTGATCAGAAGTGTGTTTGCGTCGGTTGTGCTTCTCCCAGGAGTTTCACTGGGGTTTCTCTGCTTTTCTCTGTGCAGTGGGCCTTCTCGGTCTCGCAGTCGGTCTAAAAGCCGAGGTCGCTCGTCCTCCCGATCCAATTCCCGATCTTCAAAGTCATCTGGCTCCTATTCGAGGTCACGATCTCGCTCTTGCTCTCGATCACGATCCTATTCGCGCTCCCAGTCCAGGTAGGGTGCGGCGGGCTGGGCCCTGGGAGGTGGGGGGCAGGAGCCGGAGGAGGGACCCCGGCTGTTGCTGCGGTGTCTCGTGCCTCTCACCCCGTGTGCTCTCCCTTTGCAGGAGCCGCAGCAGGTCCCGCTCTTCTCACAGTCGCTCGCGGTCGCGCTCGCGCTCGCGATCGAAATCGTATTCCCCAGGGAGGCGGCGCCGGTCCCGGTCTCGCAGCCCAACTCCTCCGTAAGCTTTTGTTTGTTTATTCCTCTTTTTTACTTGGGTTGTTTGGAAAAGTACCGACGTGGGGTTTTTTGCATAAGCTGGGAACAGTAAGCATTGCAACAAATCGTAGAAAAGAAGATGGAAGGCGGATTTAGAAACAATTCATACCTGTATGTGCTTGTAGAGGGACTATTACTTGGTTGTGGTGGCTTTTTGTTACAATCAACCCCCGTGCAGCTGTGAAGGCTTTGTGTGCCTTCCTGGGAAGCAGGAGGAATCCTCCGAGTACTCTCTGTTAGCAAGACCGTAGTGTTTGATTTCCCTGGTACTGAGAAGCAGGTTGGGTGTTTCTGGCACCTTTCTAATTCTGTAATAGCTTTATAAAAGAATAGTTTAGTAGAGTGGATGGGATTATACTGGGTATTAATATTTAACAGAGAATACATGACCTTGCTTTGTGTCAGAACAGGATCACTTGTTCTTAATTTGTTCTTTTTATTTCCTCAGTTCTTCTGCTGGTTTGGGCTCCAGTTCTGGGCCTCCTATACCAGAATCGAGACTTGGAGAAGAAAATAAAGGCCATCAAATGCTAGTGAAAATGGGTGAGATGCTGCTCTGGAGTCTTATGCATGCCAAGAAACAAAATCAGGCACCAAAACCTTGGATACAATTAATAAATACATGTTCATAAGTAATTATCCTTTGGTGTTCCAAGGTCAGCGTAAGGATGCTCAGAGGTGTAAGTGTGTGGCACACGGAGCGGTGGTGGTAGCTGCCACTCTGGGCAGGATGTGCAAGACAAACAGAAATTCCCTACCCAAGGTGTTTCATCTCCCTGTAGTGCACATCCACGGGCTGGACTGGGCAGGTGGGGCTTGTGCTGCCTTCCCCTCGCCCTCGTAAAAGTTTCAGGGATCGTGCTGATGTCTGTCTGCTCCCAGAATCTGCATATTAATGCTTTTGAAATAAACAGTTCCCATGTTGTTTCAGGCTGTTACCATCCTGCTGTATCAAATGAATGCTTTTTTTTGGTTGTTTCCAAAATGTCTGTGTTTGTCTTCAGAGTTCTAGTAATAAAAAATAGTCACAGGATTGCAACGTTACATCTTTTCTGCAGGATGGAGTGGATCTGGTGGATTGGGAGCCAAGGAACAAGGAATTCAGGATCCAATTAAGGGAGGGGATATCCGAGACAAATGGGATCAATATAAAGGAGTGGGAGTTGCATTAGATGACCCTTATGAAAACTACCGAAGAAATAAAAGTTACTCGTTTATCGCACGCATGAAGGCCAGAGATGAATGTAAGTGAATGTTTCTAAGCAATTTAAAAAACTCTGCGGATTCGATAGTGGCTTTATCTTGTTTACTGTAGATTTTAAACCTGAATGCAAAGACTAGTAACCCTTAATTTTTCTAATGTCATGGATACAGCAAACCAGCAGGTAAGTAGACATATACTCTGATTAACCCAGCATCTTTTCCTTTTTAGGAGTTGTGTTTGTATTATTTCTGAAACATTAATTAATTAGCCGTTCCGTGTCAGCCGCTATCCTGGCTGCATCCTTGAACATCACCCTTCCCAGAACAGGAGCAATCCCTGAGGTAGTGGAGGGAGCTGGAAGGTCTTTGGGGTTGGAAGGAAGTTAGACCAGGCTTTACTGTTTGGTCCTGCCCAACTCCGAGGTTCCTACCGTTAGTTGTGTTCTGCCAAAGCCAGAACCGGTAAAAATTCACCGTAGTGTAGGAAGAGTTCAGAAAAAGTGGAGGTGCTTCTTGAGAGGTGAAGGCAATTACCCAAACTATAGATTTTTGCAGAGAGTCTGTAGGTAGAACAACTATGCTTGCCAATGACTAAAAGGAAAAAAATTGGCATGCTGAATGAAAAGTCACTTCTGCCTATGGCTGCAGTAGATCTGTGTAATGAAATGGGTTTAAATAAAGCCCAAAAGGAAAAATTCCTTGTAGAGCCCTCATTCCATGAAACATTTCAGACAGCGTAGGTAACTGCAGAATGTGTAAGAACTCTTTTCCCTATTGTTTCAGTGAAGCGTGAAACGCAAGACCCTCCACCACCTGAATAAGACTCTCTGAAGAAAGATGTCTTGCATCTTCTACAAAACATTAAACTTGTATAAATCCGGATTAAAGTCTGGAGGAAGTGACAAATGAATTTACTTTTAAAACTATGGTGAAAAATGGAAAGCTATGACATGTACTTCAACACTTGTCGCTTAGTGTTTAAAAAAGGCCAGTCGTTACTATGACATGTCTAGCAAGTTTAAGAATTTCCATTTATTTTGCAAAAATTTTTTAATTAGTTACCCATTTTATACTAGAATTAAACCCCGGTCACGCTCTCCCTGGTGCAGGATTGTGATTCATTCATTCCTGTGGAATACAGACGTTATCTGATGTGGTTACATGTTCTCTAGTTCCATAATGTATGTTTATTTCTCTCAAAAGGTTAATTCTATTTGAAGTGGAGGGGTGCTGCCTTGGGATCAAGTCAGACTGATGCTGAGCAGTGTATCCTAATGTCTAAATGGGGAATGAAGCATCTAGTTCCAGTACAGGTGACCTATGAGCACTGTGCAAGCTTGTTAGAACCTACCCTACAACTTAACGCCCCTACACACCAGCTGCTGCAGTCACAACTCTGGTCAGAACACGAGGGTTAACTGTTCTAGCTTTTCACGCGCTCTAAGGGATGTTCAATGCTTTGTAACGGAAGACATTCTTTAAGCTTTTTATATTTTTGTATATACCCTTTAATAAAAGCAAATTAGCTCAATAGAAGAGAAGCCATTTTCTCTGCTCTGCAAGTTTCTAACGATGAAATGTTCTTGGAAACTTCCTTTAATCGCAATGAGAAGAAAACTAAAAAAAAAAAAAAAACCACAACAAAAAACAACCTTTTTTAACTGTTTCCAGAGACCACCAGCTAAAGATGTTAGGCCCTTACACTGCACTTCCACTCCAGAGGTCTGCGTGGTGGTAACCTCTTCCAGAGCCCTTTGTTTGTATAGCAGAAACCCTCTTAAAACCATTCAGTTACGATGATGAAATATCAGTTTGTTCTAGATCTACTGTAGTTGTGGAACTGTAACTGTCTGTGAATCAGCATACAACACCTGTATGTTATCAATTTGTGAATTTTATTGTTCTGCCTTCCAATAAACACTTTTTTTTTTAATAAAAGTAAAATGGTGGCTCGTATTTCAGAGGATTTGGCTTGTAAAGCTTCCCTGTGTCGAATTTATCCACCTACACAAACAAAATTCTATATAAACACTGTTGGAATATGGCACTAAAGTCAGGATCTGGTGTTTTTTCTCCTGTGATCATTCCTCGGGCACTGTAGCACAGACTTTCACTTCTACCCTGATGACAGATCAGTCAATCTCTGTGATAGACACAAGAAGTGTTTTCTTGGTTTCTTTTTTGGCTGAACAGTCTGGCTGAAGGTTCCTGCTGATCCCTCAATCATGTACATTAGTATAAAATTCAGAAATAGGAAAACTATGTCCAGTTTAAAAGTTATCTGTGCAATTTTTCAATTTGGCAGGGTTTCCTGTTCCACCTTGAGATCTGTATATGTAAATTTTACTTGAAATTCAAAGAGTCAAAGCAGATTTTCCTTCTGTGCTTTCCAAATTTCTTCACGTGCTTGCTCAATTGTTAGAGGTGGGGATTTGTGTTTCCTGATGTACTGCAAAAAAAAAAAAAAGTTAATATGCAAATTTATTAAGTGGATAAATACTTTCTAGTATTTAATAACAATTCTTTGTCAAGATGATCACTTTCCTGTACTAGCACCAGAAACTGATAGTCCTGTTGTACGTTAGGGAGATCCTTGCTCCTTTGAGGACAGTTCAGTGCTACAGCAAAAAAGCTTATTCTTTCAAACCACGACCTTCGGTGAGACTTCAGTCGTCTTCTACTGTATAAACTCTTGACTCGTTAACGGGCACAAGCCTTCTAGTATTCTTCTATGAAGTAATATGCTTAATGATAACATGAACTTTATCTGATTCATTAGTAATACACAGAGAAAATGTGTTTGCTGCAAATACCAGGAGCATTTGGCAAGGAAAACACCCTTAGTGGATCTAGGCTGCCCTCTTGTCTGTCACAAATACCTCTTTAGCCTCCTCCAGGGTATGGTAGTGGAACTTCTCGCTCTCTAATGACTCCACGAGGGATGAGTGAAGGTTGTGAATGTTCTCTACAAACTGCTGAGTCAAGAGCAAGTGCTGTTTCAACATGGCATTTAGAACAAGAACGGACGGGCTGTACGCTGTCAAGGCTGCAAGAAAGGGAGAGTGTACACTTTAGTGATGCGTTTCACTCAGATAGTGAGGGCTGAACAATCCAAGCAGGGGTTAGGTGCATAAAATACAGTAAAACAGAAAAAGAAACATTTTTCAGTACCTTCTACTGCGTCCATGCTGATGGTGTGACTGGCAACGGGTACTGGGTCAACATAACTGTGTCCTAGAGGTGCGTCAAGTACTGCAGAGGTGTTTGCTGTGTACAGGATAAAATAGCAATTACTGGGTTTGGAAAGGTTTAGTGCTGGAACTTCGTTCATCTTCAGTAGCGTCCTGGGACATGAGTTGCTGTAGAACTGCTGTAGAGCTGTACAGGGAATTCTGTCAGCCAAAAAAAATGCTAAAAGAGTTCTATGACCTCCACAGTTTCTTTACTCTTACGTTCATAACACGTCATTGTGGGAGGCACTTTTCTAACCCTAGACAGAGTAAAAATAAAGGCTTTTGTACTTGAAGGAATCTACTGTTTTCAAGCACCCCTGAATTTCTGTTTCCTTCTTGAGAACCTCTACTTTCTCCTCCTTGCTACCCCTCAGGAACAGTTAAGTCACATCTGTCTGTCGTAAGTGGGGCCATAGTGCTTTCCCAAGAAATAAATACAATGCAAAAAACAACTCTGCAATGGGTGATCACTTTACTATCAATGCAGTGGTATTGCTTACAGTCAAAATATTGAATTCCGTTTGAGAATGTTTCTCAGGCTATTGCAACCTCTGTTGCTGACACAGCTCACCCATCCACGCTTCCTGCTGCAGGGTTGGGGTTTTTTTAGCAAAAACCAGTTCCAAATTCTTATTCTGTTGTCCAATCCCAACCTTTTCTACAACTAGCAGATGAAAGTGCCAGGCTTTTGAAAGTTTTTAGATTAATGTCAGCTAGGGGAAGCTAATACTGAAACTAATAGCTCTATTAAGGCTGACTCGGCTAGCATATAAAATGTAAAAATTGCCCAAATAGGGCAAGATCTTGTGAACTCACTCTTTGACCAGCTGTAGGTGAACAGAGGATCCACTGTCTGAACTGCAGTTTCTTTGACAGTTACTCTGTGTACCTGCTCATGCTGCTCTCGCGTAAGTAAAGGTGACGATGCTGAGGATGGGTGTTTTCCAGAATACTTGCAGCTCTCAGAACGTTCCTCTGACATTTCTGATACAGATTCCCTGTCTGTTGTAGACGGAGACCTTTCAAAGTCTTCAGAATATTCTGAATTAACGGTTCTCTCCTCATGATCAAGATAATCCTGTTTGTGTCTAGGAAGATCTGCAGAAACTCCACTTAAATGCTCAGAGATTTCAGCATCAGTTTTATCAATATCCCCTTGGGAAGCATCATTCACACCAGTTACTGCACTTGCCATTTTAAGAGAAGTTTGGTCTTTTTCCACCAGGAATGTGTCTTTTTTTGGATTTCTGTTTGATTCTTGAGTAATTTGAAGTTCTGTCCCCTGTAAAACAAAACAACTGTATTTGAGGAGACTCAGGAAAGTACAACCTAGGAGCTGCCTCCATTCTTCTTCACCTGTTTGCTGCGTATCACTGGGAGTTAGCTACTACTTTATTAGGAAATAAAAATGTTGTTCTTCTGTGTCATCTTGTGAACTGTGCAGTGCTGTTACATTTAGTAAGGAAATACACTAAAAAAAATTTGGTCGGGTTTCGTAGACTAAAATCCTGATCTAACCCTCGCAGCTAGTGAGACACGCCCACCTCAGATAGGCTGTGAGTAGAACAGAAGTCTTTATTTCAGAATATCCACCCTCCACCAAAAGGTAGAATAGAAATATGTGCTAGTAGGGAACTTCTACTTACTTTCTGCTTTAACTCTGCTGCCTCACTGGTACTATTTGATGCCAAATCATCAAGGCTCAGGATATTCAGTCTGAAGTCTACAATCAAATGACATATCATCATGAGAATTCATGCGAAAATTACAGTACGCTTTCCCTTAAGCAAGAAAAGTGGGGAAAAAAAAAATCAAACAGTACTACATTTCTAGATTACAGTGTAATACTGAAAAGCAATAGTAATCACTCTAAACCCTTAACTTTGTAGCAGCTCTTTCTCCTTTCCTCCTTTGCCTGTCAGTGTTTCTGCTCGTCGGAGTTCAGGACATTCTTGCTGCCTCTGAGTTACATTTGTTCTGACTCAGACCCATTAGTGCATTGTCCCACTGATATACAGAAACTATTCTAAATGTTTTAATTGTTTTGATGTCACAATTAATTTAATTGTTTTGATGTCACACTGGGAAGAATTATGAAACTGAACCCATTAAATCAAAAGCCAAGAAAAATAAAAATATATTGCATGGAAAAAAAGAAACATAATTCCTTTGATAAAGCCTTTTGAAGTATTTGCCCATGTTTATTAGTCAATTTATCAGTAGATTATTAGTACAAATCACGCCAAGTCTACTGTGACAATATTTAGAACTAACTTACCATTTGAGCCGCTGCTCATTGAATCTTCTGCACCAGCTGCTTTTGAAAATAATTCATCTAATGATTTTATTTCACTTCTGTCACTTTCGAGTGATATTTGGCTTTGCTTGGTGTTGCCTGTTCCAGGCAGAGTAATCTTTACAGTATTGTCTTTCACGGACGAAGACGGCAACTGAGATCTCACATTATGTAGTACTGACAGGTTTCTGCTGGCTGGTGAAAGTGCTGGTGAATTAACTCTACCAGAAATATTTTTCTCTGAGTCTTTGCTATGAAAAAAAGATGCTTTAGATACCTCTGTTGGTGAAATTTCCTCATGAGATGGAGGAGGCATTCCTGATGAAACTGGAGTCTTACTCTTTTCAAGAACATGAAAAAGAGATTTGTTACTTTGTTTATTATGTGTAGATCACTAAAAAGGAAATCAAGTTATAATGGGTAAAAAAGAGTAATTTTAAAATGTGAATTGAAGGTAAATCATATCATGACCAAGCCACAAATGCAAAAGTAAAATTTAGTTTCTGGTGTTATCTAAATAAAAAGTGATCTATGAATTAAAAGAATTTCATAAAAGTGTAAATAAAAAATACATAATCCAGCGAAGTCTGTATTTACCTTTCCATTCCATTTAGAATCATCCGCTATGACAACTCTCCTATTCTCATTTCCACTGGGAATCTCCAAAGAGCTCTCCATCAACTCTCTCATTTCCTCTTCATCGCTATCCAAACCCAGCTGTTGTTTGACCATAACATTCTTTTTAGGGCTTCGGATGCTTTCCTCTTCCTTAGAACGGGCGTTACCGAGGGTCGTATTTCCACCGGCAGTAACATAATTCTTCAGATACTTCTTGCCCCTTGCACTGTGTTCATGACTGGAGGCAGCTGAGACGGACTCTTCATCCGAAGGTGTCTGGCCCAAGTCAGTGCTCTGCAGTTCCGCCTGCTTCCTCCGGCTCACGATTCTGCTCTCCAGCTGCGCGGCTTTCCTCAGAGCCGAGCTCAGCCGCGTGTGGGAAGCACCGCCCGCCGTGCTCTTTGCGACACGCCAGCTCGCTGCCTGCACAGCACTTCCCGAAGTCTGGCCCCGCTGGCTTCCACGTACATTTTCGTCGCGCACCTTTAGGAACCTGCTGTGGCAGAACGGAGTTCTTCCAGGCTTCTCCAACTCGGTGTCAGCCACAGAGCGGGCGCTACAGGAGCTGCGCCCGGCTGTGAGGGTTCTCCGGTGGGCAGCATCACCGTGTCCCTGCCGAGGAGAGGATGCAAAGAGCCCTCAGAGGCGGAGGCAGGCGGCCCGGTTCAGCTCCCGCTCCCCTGCCCGCGTCCCCGCCTGCGCCGGGCCACCTCCTCCCCCTCTCCGGGGTGGGCTC